ATGCTGTGATCCTCAGACTGCTTAAACCTGCAGCCTGAGGATATGTGCATGAGTTTGACAATCCTGCACCCTCAATGTTTTGTGAGAATCCTACTTCCTTTCCAATAGCTACATACACTATGTAAATATTAAATTTAGTGCAACAACATTGATGATGAGACAATCAACTGCATTATAAAGATTCATTCAGTATGCCTCTACAATGATATGTCCATAACTTTGAAAGAGAGCACTGAAAGCCAAAAAGAAAAAAAGGAAAAAAAAAGAGATGTGCTGGATCATAAAGCATGCCATGCATTTCCAACAATAAACAGAAAATGAATTATTTTATAAACAGTAAAAGCTTGCTAAAAATTGTAAACAAGCATATGCATATTTCCAGAGCACAAAGAAAAAAAAAACAAGCTTGATCATAAATTATCTGGTAGAACATACAAATTTTCAGGACTCAACAGTGCATGACACACCTTATACGCCAAATTCTTAAGGTTTCATCAATTATCTGGTAGTTAATTTGTTTCCTTGGTCAAGCTTGATCACAGGCATGCACATGTTTAAACCTAGAAGAAGCTTCTCGTGCACATATGTGCACCCAAGAAAAAAATTAAATTGAAGACAGTTCTCGAAAGAATGCATCTCTCAAGCAATACACACCAAGATTTGTAGTTATAACAAGAACATATATACATTTGAGATAAATGAAAAATCATTACTTCTTTGATTACAAAGTTATTAATCAGAGTATGGACAATGAAGCAAGAGGCATAAAGTATAGGCAGACAAGCACTAATGGCTAGAGATAGGAACAATAATTTGCCTTAGAAAGATATTACAATCAAATTAGCATACTGTAACAAATACATGCAAAATAACTCAAACTAATGAGTCACTTCAAAATCAAAGTTATACTCTATCAAAGTAGATACAAGGCAACTCAGCAAGTTAAGAAGTCAAATAAATCTGACAGAAATGAGGTTCAGTCAGATAAATAAACTGGTTCAGAAACTCATGTACTCTGGAATGAGATTGAAATACAAAAAAAACTAGACGTAAAGATGCAAAGGATAGGAACAGAATTAACATACCAAGAATCCCACAGCTTGCCTTGTGTGTTTAAGTTCATCCCAAGATGACCCAGTATTCTGTAAAGTGAAAATCGTTAGATAAACATAAACTTTTCTGATTATCAGCCGAAGTAAGCAATAACTTTTAGATAACAATTTGTGTGGACCTCTGCTTTTGTTTGTCCACACCATAGCTCCAGTGCTTCTAAACCCGACTTTATGTACTCTCCATTGCCAAAAGAGCAGCACTCACGACGTAAAAGGAGACTGTATAAGCAACAAAGAACGGGTTGAAAAACATTTCAGTTTTATCTACCTCGTTTATGGAGAATGAAGATAATTTAAGCAGAAATGTTACAAACCTGTTGAAGAGCTGTACATTGATGAAGGAGAAAATCTGAGCAAACATTTTCTGAACCAGAGCTGCAGTCACCTGAAAAGCAATCAGGTTAATAAGAAATCCTCCATTTGAAAGAAAATGTGCAGCTTTAACTCAAATTCCACCCATAAGTCTTACAAAGTTCTCTTCTAATGTATGCAGAAGCTTATTCAAACTCTCTATAATGCTCTGCCAAGGCCTACTTTCACCCTGATTGCCAGATAAATCCTCAGATCCTTCAAGCGCATCTGCCTTTGCCATTCTTGATGCCTTCAGTTTAGAATCGAATGACAATTAGAAACAGGATAATACTTGAGAGCACGAAACTAGAAAGTGAAATTCTAAATCGTTTAAGTAAACAAAAAGACAAGCACAAAGCAAAAAGCACAATCTTCAAGGAGTTTCATTTGACATTACATATTAAACTTTAAAAACTTTTTGAGTGTTAATTTACATGAAAAACATATAAACAAGGAGATCATAGTTATTTGATAAGTATCATATTTTTGAGGTGTGCAATTCAAGTATCAAAGTAATAGGTAATCATAATCAAACAATGAAGGGTCACAAACTCAAAATTCTAGTAGCATTCAACTCCAGTCATCTTGCAAGATATGATTACTTTCTCCAACCACATTAGATAAATACTTTTTGTTTGAACTCGGTGTAACCTTTATTCTTAATGAAACCAGACAGTTATGGACTTCCTCACACCTGCATGCACAAAGAAAGCAAGGGAGCAATCTCTTTTTTTGTATTCTCACGGGTCATTCCAAATATCTTGTCCACATAAGCTGCAAGCTGCTCCTTGAAAAGTATGGCAGGATACTTGGCCTCAACATGGCGTATAACACTCAACGCATCAAAAGGAAGGTTTGATGATGAGGGAGAAGCTCGGAAGCTCTGTAAGAAAAATCCATTTGCCATGGTGCATATTCAGTTAAAGAAAATAGCACATTAATACGCCATGAGAAAAAAGTCCCTATTTACGGTTGATTTGTTACATACTTGAGTCATCCTCCCAAATAGCGATGTTGGTGCGGGAGGTTTCCCGGATCCTGGAGGTTTAATACTTTTATGTAGCAAGAACAGTAAAGTAGACGCATTTGACAGCCAATAACCAAGATGATTTGTTTCCTCATTCTGAAAAAAAGAAAGGATTTTTAACTCATCATTCGCCATGGCAGTAACAATATTATATATTATTGTACTGATACTATGCAGATCATTGAAATATTTGTACGACCATGTAAATGTTCCTTTTAGAAGAAAGTATAACTGCAGGATTGTAGGTATAACTGCATTCTGTGAAAAGGTTGAATTTGCGTCTTTGTATGTAAGGTAAATGATCAAATGTGTGAGACAATGATCAATCAATGCAAAGTTTAAGCAAGCCCATGGGCTGAAGATAACCAGAGAGATCTGTCACCTCTCTGGCACACGGAAGTTTAAACTAGTAAAAATAAACTGATATTAACTTTTTTGTGTGTGTTGGAGGGTATTTGAGAACCAATCATATGTATAAGTCGATCAAAAACACTAGTTCTGTCAGCTTCAAAAGATCTCCAATGGAGTAGACATTTATATATGGTAATTGCAGCAACTGGCCTTTCTTCACTAAACCCAATATTTTGACCAACACATTTGAGAAGGGCGTCGACAGTTTCTGGTGTAGATAACACCTAACAGACAAAACAAGTTATGATCCACAAGAACTATATACACATAAATGACTTTGCACAGACTCTTAACAAGCACATACTGGTTGTGCTTCAACATGTGATCTCCTCAACCTAGAATCAGATTTTCCGTAACTCTTATTAGGAGGTTCCTGAAAAATAGACATTAATATTATGGAAAATTCTGCCATAATCAAATCTTTTTGTTTCTGTGTGTTAAGTAAGAAGTCAGAATAGAGAGTTTTGAGGTAAGTCTCAGACCTTATGTTCATCAATAACATGATGACCATTCTCCAAATTCTGCAAAAGGTGAAATCCAAGCAGGCATGAAAGGTAGACCAAGAAGAACAAAAAGGGAAAAAAGTTAACTATAATCATTTAATTACATTTTTTCCAGAGGGTGCAGGTGACAAATGTGCACGCATGCGTTGCCGAAGAATTTTATCTTCAGATTCCAGATTAGATAATTTTTCTTGAAGCCTGTGACAAAGAAGACAACTCACTTTAAATAATTAAAAAATGAATAATAATTGATTATTGCTCTGAGGTCTTATATAGATTATCTAGAATAAATGTAACTGCTATTCATATGAGCAATTGACAACTGATTATGTAAGATGAAATTCGTATGAGAGAACAGTAACCTATGCAATAAATTGTTCAGGTCATTTATCTTTGATTCAGCTTCCAGAGCCTTCTTAAGCCTTTTCTCACTAACTTCTGTTGTTTCTTCAAGCCTCTTTTCAGTTTCATCAATCTTCTTTTCAAGAGAACTCACCAATTCCTGTAAGGTTGTCATGGAGGATGAGGTGATGATATAAGACTAGACACATTAATATGATATTTAATTTCACCCTCGAAAAGAATGCACAATAGCATAAATAATGAACCGTCAAACTCATGTTCCTCATATATGATTACAAAATTCAAACCTCAGGTGCATAATAAGCCTTGTGAGATAAACTTAGAAAAAGAAACACTTCAGACTCACCTTAAGCTGTTCATTTTCAGTGGTGAGTTTATCCATTGAAGCTGTATCAACAACTGGGACCTCTGTTATAATGTGATCAACTGGCTTGAGCTTTTCATTTTCATAAGTGAGTTGCTCACTTTCCTCAGTCTTCTTTTCAAGAGAACTCACCAAGTCCTACAAAAGTAATTATGGAGGATGAAGTGATATAAGACTAGCCGCATTTATGCAATATCTAATTTCAACCTCCTGGAGAACGCACACAAGCATAAATAAGGAACGGCCAAACTCTTATCCTCATAATCATATCTCAGGAAAAGAAACACTTCAGACTCACCTTAAGCTGTTCATTTTCAGCAGTGAGTTTATCCATCAAAGCTGTATCTAATGGGGCCTCTGTTACAGTGTGGTCAACTGGGAACTTGACCTTTTCATTTTCAGCAGTGAGTCGTTCACTTTCATCAATCTTCTTTTCAAGGGAACTCACCAAATCCTGCAAAGTTATCATGGAGGATGAAACGATATAATACTAGCCACATTAATGCAGTGTCTAATCCTCCTAATGCGCCCATGCATAAATAATGAAAACTAATGTTCCTCTTAGATGATTAGAAGTCAAAGCTCAGGTGCGCAAGTCTCATCCTCACGATGACATCTGAGAAAAGCAATATGTAGCACTCACCTTAAGCTGTTCATTTTCAGCGGTGAGTTTATCCAGAAAAGCTGTATCAACAACCGGGACCTCCTTTATGAAAGGATCAACTGGGAGCTTAAGCTTTTCATTTTCATGAGCGAGTTCTTCACTTTCATCAATCTTCTTTTCAAGATAATTCACTAAATCCTACAAAATTATCGTGGAGTATGAGGTGAAGGAGATAGTTATACTAGTGCAACATATTTTTTCATACTCCTTAACAATGCACATTGATAAATAATAAATCACAGAAATCATGTTCCCCGAGACGATTACAGAAGTCAAGCTCAGATGTGCAACTCTTATGATGATATCTAAGAAAGGTCAGCAGTTTGGACTCACCTTAAGCTTCTCATTTTCAGCAGTAAGCTCATCCATCAAAGCTGTATCAACAACTGGGATCTCATTTATAATGGGATCAATTGAGAGCTTAAGCTTTTCTTTCTCAGAAGCGAGTTCTTCTTCAGTTTCACCAATTTTCTTTTCTAGAGAACTCACCAAATCCTGCATTACCGCGGAGAATGAAGTAAGATAAGATTAGCCGCATTATATGTTCCACCCTCCTGAACAATGCACACATGCCTAACTGATGAGCTGTTTAACACATGTTCCTCTAGATGATTGCAAAAGTCAAAGATCAGACACATAACTCTTCTCCTCATGATGATATGCAAGGAAAAGCAATATTTCAGATTCACCTTAAGCCTTTCATTTTCAGCAGTGAGTTTATCCATCAAAGTTGTATCAATAACAGGGACCTCTTTTATAATGGGATCAACTGGTAGCTTAAGCTTTTCATTCTCAGCAGCGAGCTCTTCAGCAGCCTCCCTAGCAACATCACGCTCTTTAATCAGAAGATCTTTAGTTTCTTCAAATTGCAGTTGCATCTCCTGCAGGGCAGATTGCAACTTTGCATTTTCTTCCTCCATGTCAGCCTAACAAAGAATAACTAGCCAGATTAAAATAAAGAATTGATACCCACCAAACAGAATCTTGAACTGCAGAAGAGAAAGTCAGCAATTTATACCACTCAACTATATACTCGGGGCATCTAGGTCAAAAACCTGACATAAGGATCAAAATGCCTTTCTATTGAAGGGTTTAAACAGTCAAATGACTCAAATATCTAAAAGCAACTCTTTTACTCGTTTAAAGAGTAGTAACAAATACCACCAATTATATGCAACACTATATCACAAGGCTAGGCGATAAGCTACACTTTTAATGTTTTTAATCCCTTTCATGAACAAAGTATTCATTCTCTTTGAGATTGAGAGACACAAAGGGAGTGAGATGATATATCAAACCTGGCGAAGTATTAAAATAATAATGCCTGTAAAAACAATGAACTTAAAATTTAAAAGTAAAATTAAGGGGGAAAACTCAGTTGTGCCCTTTTTTTACACTAATCACCTCCAGACCAAAATTGCATGGTTTTCATCAACATTGATTATCACTTCGTTCCAGTTAAAGGAAACAGATAAGAAATGAAGGGAAAAACTATCATTAAAGATAAGCATAACAAGAAGTGTATATACCCTCATGCTTTTCTCCAGCTCTAGATGACTTGCTAGCTCCTCTACTTGTTTCTCCAACATAGTTTTGGCAGCTTGGAGAGCACCTGTTTCTTTTGCAGCCTGTAGGTAAGAGGGAAAGAAACTAAAGCTAGATAACTAAAAGAATTAGACTGTATGAATAACTATTTCACAAAACAAGAAACCGCTTGAAGAATAAAACAAAGACCGAGGGTTACACATGAAATACAAGTATAGATGACAAATAAGGTTACCAGTAGGGGTCATTTAGTGGGACTTTCCCTTGCAGTAGCATCTTTCATTACCATAAATGAAAGATAGGCCCTTCTCTAGCATTTAGAGCTCTAAGCAGTTTTTCAATTGATGCCAAACAATCCTACTATCAGCCTTTTGGGGGAAAACGTAAATGTATTTCAAGTGAAAGCTTGGATGTAGGTGGTGTAGGAAGAAGTGAAAGAACGGAAAATGTGAGCTAAAGATGGATGTACTAATATGTAAGAACAATTTTTTAGTGAAGACACACAAGCTCCAAGAATGGTTGCACTATAACTCAACTAACTGTAGATACAATTTACGGCCCAGAACATAAATAAGAAACTTATGGGTTCAAGATGAAATGCTAGTGAAATGTATTACTGACAGATTACTCCAAGAGCGAATAAAGAAAGCATTTTCTTATTTTCACTGTTTTTTGACAGGTCCTTATCTAACATTTAGAGCTCTAAGCAGTTTTTAATTGAGACCAAACAATCCTACCATCAGCATTTTTGGGAAAAACATAAATGTATTTCAAGTGAAAGCTTAGATGTAGGTGATGTAGGAAGAAGGGAAAGCATGGAAAATGTGAGCTAAAGGATGGATGTTCGTCATATGCAAGAACTTTTTTTTAGTGAAGACACATGAGCTCCAAGAATGGTTGGACTATAACTCTATAAATGTAGATACAACTTACGATCCCGAACATAAACAAGAAACTTATGAGTTCAGGATGAAATGCTAGCGGGATGTATTATTACTTTGTGTGTGTGTGTGTGTGTGTGTGTGTGTGTGTGTGTAGGTGGGAATCTGAATCTATGGGTGGGCAGCAAATGGGAACATAAGGACTCAAAGCAAAGCTAGAGCTCAACTTTTAGGTGAGTGCAACTGCAGTGCAATATGGAAACACTCTTAGTAGTCATGCCATAGGTGTGGCAGTATTTCGTTCTCGGTTATACGAACAAAAGATGCCTAAAAGGATATTGGTTGGTAACAGTGAACTAATTTGAGAGAGTCCAATTTTATGTCTACAATCCAAGTATGGTTGACTGGCATACACTGCTTAAAAGTTGGTAATCTATTCCTCTATAATAATAGGAGGATCCAAGATTCACTATTCATGCTACAGTAAATTATTACATCTAAAAAGTTACCGTAGCACTGACAAAACTGTATTTAAATACAGAATTACTGTAGCGGAAGTAAAAAATTGGTGGCCATGCTTTGCACGGGTGCACATTAGTATAATAGATGATAAGAGCTCCCTTGGAATATGATTTCTTGTGCAATGTTCATTGAGGCAAAGGTGACTGACTTGATATGCATCTGGAAGATACTCACCCAGTGAAAATAAGAACACAAAAGCTTGTTTCAATATAGATATTTTTTATAAGGAATTAAAAATATGAGTTGGTTCAATATAGATAATTAGAAAAGTAAAATATATATTCAATTTATAGTGGCTTAGCCCAGGGGCCTTTCTCAAATAAATGAACAAATAACTAAATATAGAAATGACTAGGATAACTTTGTCAAGAGTATAACAAGGATGATGCAGATAGACAAGGCGACTCAACAAAAATAAAAGTGGTAAAGCTAGGAGCTCAATTGCAAAACTAGTCTAAGCTTAAAAGCTGTCTCAAAAGAGAATGAAGTGAAAAAAAATTGCAATTACAGAATTCACAGAAGACTCAGCTATTGAAAAAAAAAGATAGCATTTATTTTTAAACGAGCAACAGAAAGAAAAATGCTAATACGATGACCCAAGCGACCTTAGTCTTACATCAGTGGTATGTGTGAGATTAAATCGTTTATATAGATAAGACAAAGACTCAAGCGTAGCATCAGCTAGCTGATTTTGGTGGTGGTTCGAGCCAAATAATGCGCTACACTCGGTGGGTCTAACAACTTACATAGTGTCAACGGACTTGCAGGCTGGAGGCGTGACAAATGATACCAAAACAGTTTGCTAGTAGGAAGTGTAGAGCTAAGTGCTATGTGGGGCTAAGTGCAGCCCGTGAGCGTAGTGGGAGCCACCTTTAGAACATGTAGGAGTCATCTCTAGAGTCCATGTCACTATTGGGATGTGTCAATTGTCATGTCGCAAGGAAGACATCGCATATGTAATGTGAGGGTGATTGTGATGCCCCAAGTGACTTTAGTCTTACATCTGTGGATATGTGTGAGATTAAATGGTTTATATAAATAAAGCAAAAGACTCAAGTGTAACATCGACTAATTGATTTTGTCAGTGGTTCGAGCCAAACAACGCACTACACTCAGTGGGTCCCATGGCTTACATTGTGCCGACGGGCTTGCCGGCTCGGGCATGACAAACGAGGCATGACAGCTAAACCAATAATGGAACCTTTGATCAGAAATTTAAAATGATTAGTCAAAATTCAACTAGTATTATAGAATTCATGATAAACTCATGCAAATGGTAAAGATATTCATACAAGATGAGGCCAATATTAACATGTTAGTCAAACACAAATTGTCTTAGAATTCTCACATTATTTTAGATAAAGATTTGGAAGTCTCAAAAATACAAATTAAACCTCTTGTATAAGGGTGAAAAAAATTGAAGCTGCTAAAATAAGGCTCACCATTTTAAGCTTTCGTAACTCTTTTCTAGCAAGCCTTCTTCTCCAAGCACATTGAGTAGTTATTGCTGCTTTCCTTATTCTAGAATAATGCAATTGTGCCAAGTACCGGCGACAATGACTCTGGGAAAGAGATGCCAAGAATACACTGTAAGAAGCATGTTTAATGCTTGAGAATTGAATACTATAATATTGATAATATTAGATATAGAGAAAATGAAAGAACCTAAAACTGATTTAATATGTGAATTGTATGAAGATCAATAATTTCATTATAAGAAAAAAGATCTCAAACAGCTCAAAGATGAAAGAAAAACACCAGAGAAGGCTAAAAAAAAGCCAATATAATCCGTGTAATTATTCACAATGTCAAGATACACAAAATCGGAGAAAAAAAAGGGTAGAAAACAAAAGTCCATTTTCACAGGAAATTACTGGAAAAAATTTATGAGCACAAGTCTGATTAATAGTATTAACTACTTCTGCAGACTTTTTTTCATGTATAAACAGAATTCCTTCCTGTTATCCACTCAGTAGGACTTTCTATACCTGAATGATAGTCATAGCTACTGTCTGACGCCTGAAGTCAAGCTGCTTACGAGCCGCCATTCCACGTAAACCAGCTTGAATAACAATGGATGAAGAATACAGACTTTTGTAAGCTTGCTTTTGAAATTGCATGCGAAAATATGTTTGGATCCTCAAAGAAGCAGTCTCTCTGCGCGTGTTTTCATAAAGTTGCCGTGCAAGTTGTCCTTAAAAAGAGAACCATTTAAGATCTAGCATCTACAAAGCTAAATCACGGAAATGAAATATTTTTCCATCAAGAATAGCCATCATGATCTTTGTAAATATGATTACCTCTGCATACAGATTGAATCCCTATAGCTGATTTTTGCAGTGTGAGGAAACTTTTACGAGCATAATAAGAGCGAACTTTTCTTTGAATGATACTAGCAGATCTTCCTAACAAAGAATTCCTACGTGCATCCAGTTCTGCCATCTGGCCAGCCCGAAGAAAAACCTTTGTTTTCCCTACCTAGAAAAATGAAAATAAGAGATCAGATCTTCGGCATCATGTATTGAGCACTATACGTTTGTTCCTACAAATTCATCTGGGGATGATGGCCAATCATCATATAAACTCCAGTCAATTTCTTCCACAGACATTGCAGCTATGAATATTAAATTAAGCAAAATGAGGAATGAGATAAAACCATGCTACCATTTTCTCTTGTTACCTCTATCATGCTCACTTTAGTTCCTATCAACTTTGTTCTCCGTCTCTTGTAAAAGTAGCAAAGATTTTAAAAATAGAAACTATTTGTTACCTTGTTATAGAGTCTGTTGCATCCTTAATTAAACAAATTGCAACTATGAAAAACGAATTGATAATTTTTATAATGTTTACCTGGTAACCTTCAAGTTCAGCTGCCTCCAAAAGCTTCTTTGAAAGGGTCACTTCATCAGAACTGCCACAATGAAGAAATAAGAAAGATCAGAAGAGGAAGAAAGGGAACTGCCGAAAGAGGCACTAAATTATGAAATATTCTGAAAAACAACATAACAAATTCCTTTCAGTGGCTTGTTCAGTTGTTATAGCAGATTATACCTTCCTTTCAGTGAATTAGGTAAGAGGACACCAAACCGTTCTATAAATTCATCAAATGTCCGCCTTGTTGGATATCCAGCACAGCTTATCCTAATTGCTTCCATTACACCCTGAGTTACAGCAAAAAAAATATGATATTACGATATAGTGATACATTTCATACCATGAAACTTTCACAACTTACATTAATCTATAAAACAAGAAAAAGATCCTCACCCCACATCGGAGTTGTTGGAGAACATTAGTATTCTCAAATATGTAAGGCTTCAAGAGATTATTAGGTTTGACACAACGGATATAGTGTGGCTCTGTCGCACTTAGAGTTTCAAGGAGAGATTGCAGTTGTTGCTGCATTGAGTAGCAATATATTGCAAGTCATTTTACACAGGGAATCATGAGTTATGAATTAAACATAAACACATAGCACCATACCTTGAATCTTGAACCTATTGATGAAAACTTCGAAGACTTGGATGAGTCATCAGAAAGAGCTGGAAATAGACTAGATATGAAAGAGCACTTGGAAGCATTCAAAAGAGATTGATGCTCTGCAATAACATAATCTTTGTTCTTGTCCAAAAACAATTCTGTTTGATATGTGACCTGCAATCAGGAAAACAATGCACTAATCATTCTGCATTTAGGAAAACAATGCACTAACTTTTCATTTTGAGATGAGTGCAGCAAAGTGTGTGAGGCATCATGAAGAAATAATTCATACATCACCAGCATAGTGGCAAATGGTAAAGTCTGAGCGTGCTAGTTTTGGCTTGCTAAAGCGCTTGTTTTCTTTAAACATCTGATATAGCTTCTGAGCAAATGTGTCATGTGTTGATCTTGGCAATACACTAAATGAAAAAAAGATTTGATTTCAAATATCAATAATCGGAAAATGATCACCATTTTACTATAAACTAAATTTAGAGAAGACAATGTCAAATGATCAAATAGTACTACATACCAAGCCTCATCCAGAAGTGCGATGATCCCACCCGGTTTCTGGAAGTCAAGGATGAAATGTTAAGACAAGAAGATAGGGGAGTTTTGAATATAAACATCAACTAATTAAATATAACACCAATCCCTAAAAGCAGGGGGTTAAGCATATACATTCTTATGTTTTTTATAAATGACATTTTTCCTTGCATTTTTTTAAATATGTTTTTCCTTGCCTTCGATATTTCCCTAATCTCTTTGTTTTTCTTAAACGATCAAGGAAACATGTATTCCTTCATCTAACAATGCCGAAATTGGATGAATTATGGCCTTAGAGGTAGAAACTATGGTACTTCTTTTAGTAACAGACATATATGATATATCTATACCGAACGCATCTATTCAAACACACCTTAACAAGAATATAGCCATATTTTATGAAGAAATAGAGAATAGAAGTGAGGCACAAAAAGTTTTTTTTTCATTGATAATAGCTTGGGCTTATATAGAGCCTTACAGGACACTTTTACACATAAGACCCTGATATTACATATATCTCAACACTCCTCCTCAAGGTGGGCGAAAAATATCTATTAAGCCCATCTTGTCACATCCTCTAGCTAAGTCTAATAAACTAAGCCCTTTAGTCAGGCAATCTGCTGCCTGATCCTTAGTTGGAACATGGCCTAACTCCATTAGTTCACTGTTTAACTTCTCTTTGATAAAGAACTTGTCAATCTCAATATGCTTGGTTCTGTCATGTTGCACTGGATTGTTGGTGATACTGATGGCTGACTTGTTGTCGCACCATAACTTCATCTTGGCTCCTTGATCTAGCTTCAGCTCCACTAACATGCCTTTTAGCTACAACAACTCCGCAACTCCCAAGACCATAGCTTTGTACTCCGCTTCAGCTGTCGATCTTGTCATCACAGACTGCTTTTTGCTTTTCCAGGAGACCAAGTTGCCTCTTACAAAGATACAGTACCCTAAGGTAGACCTCCTATCATCTCTATAGCTAGCCCAGTCAGAGTCACAGTAGCTCTCAATGTTCACGTGGTCATTCCTCCTGAATATCAGCCCTTTGGCACCCTTCAGATATCTCAGGATCTGGTACACTGCATCCATATGACCCTTCATCTGGTTATGCATATAGCGGCTCACCATGCTTACTGCAAAGGAGATATTCGAACGTGTGTGACTTGAATATATCAACCTGCCTACCAGCCTCTGATATCTGTCACGATCAACTGGTTCTCCTGCCTCAGCATTCAGCTTGAACCTCTGGTCGATCGGTGTAGCTGCAAGTTTGCACCCCAACATCCCTATCTCTACGAGAAGATCTAATGCATACTTCCTCTGGGAAAGAACAATCCCCTCTACTCCTCGAGCTATCTCGATCCTAAGAAAGTATCGAAGCAGACCAAGATCTTTTACTTCGAACGCTTTGCTCAGTCTCATCTTGAGTTGGGCAATTTCCTTCTCGTCATCCCCTGTGATGATCATGTCATCCACGTACACCGCGAGCATAGTAATGTGGCCACCACTTCGCCGAAAGAACACAGTGTGGTCGGTATTGATCTGCAGGTACCCTATACCTATCATAGCTCTCTTGAACCTGTCGAACCACGCTCGAGGAGACTGCTTTAGCCCATACAGAGACTTTTTTAACCTGCAGACCTTGTCCACTGTCTAACCTGTGCAAAATCCGGGTGGTATATCCATGTACACCTCCTCCACTAGATCCCTATGAAAAAATACATTCTTCACCCACCATTTGCTATCAGAGAGATCAACGTCCGAACAGTGCTCATCTTCGCTAAAGGTGCAAATGTCTCATCGTAATCAATATCATATGTCTGACTATATCCTTTTATCACCAGACGTGTCTTGTAATGCTTAACCTGCCCGTCTGGATTTTGCTTCACAGTGAAGACCTACTTGCATCCAACTGTTCTTTTCCCTGTTGGTAGCTTTACTAACTCCCTAGTGTGTTTTTTCTCAAGAGCCCCTAGCTCCTCATGCATGACCGCCTTCCACGTTGGATCCTTCTTAGCAACCTGTCAATTGTTAGGTAAAGTAATAGAGTCCAGAGATGCAATGAATGCTCCATGTGAAGGTGATATGTTAGAATAGGAAATAAACTGAGCAAGATCCCAACCATATCTCTCAGGAGGATATCCCGCATTATTGCGATTAGTCCTCCTTACTGACATTGGTATGTAAAACTGGATACATCTCAAAACATTGAAGGAGCTATGTCCCATACGCCGGTGATGGAGCATCAACATATCATCAGCACTCATTTCAGGTCCTACTCCTGTCTTCTCAACCATGAATATCAGCGCTGAGTCCATCCCTTCACGGTCCAGGTACCACAGTGCACTACGCCACGTGCTAGTCCCAAGTCTCTGTCCTGTCCCCTTCTCCTGGAAGATCACCTTGGGAATATCAAAAGAGAACGCATTTCAGTTGGAGTAATGGCACTAATGGATAAAAGGTTTATTGGAAAGAAAAGAGCATGCAAAACATTAGACAAAGTTACAAAACATGTACAACTAATTGTATCCTTACCAACCATAGCCTGTGCTGTACCATCAGCAATCTAGATGTTCTATGGCTTTGCTTTGCCAGGTGAGTATAGGATGAGAACTCACTGGTATTACCTGTCACATGTCTAGATGCTCCAGAATCTATTATCCATTCTGTGGATCTAGTGGTGTCTATAGACGCAAGGGCATGTGTGTTATTCGTACCTTTGTTCGGGTGGGCATAAGCGGCAAAGTCTCATCTGTGGAAAAAGGTGGATGCACTCTTAGTCACATCGCCTGTAGCTCTCTGCTTCCTCCTCAGTACCGCCAAGAGTGTCTAATCCTCCTCAGTGAAGATTACCTCAGCTTCTTCTCCCTCTGTTACCATCAGGTTCGCCCAATAGCCTCCTCTTCCACCTTGCTGACCTTCAAGGCCACGACCACGGCCTCCAACCTATCCACGTCCATCCCAATCTCTCTCCTTGGGTGGCTTAGGGCACATCTGTCTCAAATACCTTACCTCGTCACAGTTGTAGCACTGTCGAGTCTCCCCTTTGAATCTAGTGTTGCCTGGGTTTTAGACCATCAGTGTTGACTTCTTTCCTGGAAGTCCACCTGTCCCAGCCTGTAGCCTAATGTGGCTCTCCTCCTGTATCATGGCCGAGACTGCCTCTTCTAGTGAGGGAATCTTTATCTGGGCTAACAGCATCGCAGTCCTCTGCTCAAATATTGGAGCTAATCCCTGGAGAAATAGCATGGTCCTCTCCTGGATAAAGGCCTCTCGCTCCTTGCACTCAGGATCCTTGCAGCTTGCTCGGGACGAGAAGTGATCATATCCAGCCACAAGCGCTCCAGCTCTGTGACATACTCCTGCACAGTCCTATCTCCCTGGACTGTAGCATTGATCTTCCTCTTGATCTGGAACACCCTCAGGTTATTCCCCATCCCATCATACGTTCTCCTCAGCTTCTCCCAGACGTCCTTTACCTTCCCAAGGCTATCCACTATGGCAGCAATGGGCTGGACTACAGAGTTGAGGAGCCAGATGTACACCAACATATGAGTGGACTTCCACTCATCTCTCCATGTGAACCCCTCAGCTGGCTCAGTCTTTTCTCCCATCAAATATCCCTCCAGGTTCCTCCCTACGAGAGTATACCTCACCCTACATGACCAACTAGGGTATGTCGCTGGCCCATCGAGTTTTACATCAATAGGTAGAAGCTCCACCTTCTTAGGCGGTGGCTTTGTCGAGCCCTCTCATGCCGACAACCTCATCAGTTACATCAATGTTGAGATCTCCTCAGGATTCAACTTCTTGATGATCTCCTCCATCAGATTCCTGTCAGTCTCCACCATCGATCCAACTTGTATTCGGTTTCCTCACACCGATCTCACAAATCAGGATCCTGCACCTGGCCTTCCTCCTTTTCTTGACTCGAGCATACCCCACTTCACATCAAGCCCTAGATCCACCACATCTCAACCCTTGGCGATCAGGGCCAACGACGCAGGAACACGAGCACCAACAGAGGCTAGTGGCACGAGCGCAAGTTTGCAGGGGCGATGGTGCAGCGGACGCACGCGGGCGGCGGCTAGGGCAAGGGGAGAAGGCGGCGTAGATCTGGACCTCGTCGGGGGCTAGGGCAAGGGGGAAGAGGCAGCGAAGATCTGGATCTCGGTCTTCGTAGGGTCGTCGTCGG